TGCAGTACATTAAACATATGAAAAAGCTGCAACAGTGACTATGGGGTATCCAGTTACCAATCTGACACACAAAATTGTTGAACTGGTGAACCAAGGCAAATTTGTGATACCTCAAGCTAGGTGTGACAATACAGAGATGTAACACAACAAATCCAGCTAACTTTGTGCCCTCAGAGGAAGAGAGAGAACCCCATGAGTGTGTAGTTCAGACCATGAAGTACACTAGACTAAGGTCAACATGGAGTCAACACCATTGTTGCAGGCCGATGTGGCATATTTTGCTGACGGTTCATGCTATAGAGACCACACAGGAACACATGCAGGTATTGAGTTTAAAACAGAAAAGGCAGAACGGTGTGAGCAGCAGTGCTCAGCACAATTGGCAGAATTAAAAGCACTAACCCTAACACTATCAAAGAGGGTTCCGTAGAACTGACGGAACGCTAATTCAACACTACAACCAAATTAAAGAACTAATTGCAGCAATGATGCTTCCGCTAAAAGTTGCAATAATAAAGTGCCAAGCACATCAGAAAGGAAATTATGCTGTGATTCGTGGAAACAATACTGCTGATGAAGAAGCCAAATCAGCAGCTAAATGTCAGGTGGCCATTTTGGCACCAATGGTGATGTCATTTCATTTTGATACAAAAAGAAGCAACTAAAAGTGAATAGGACATCTGGAAAAGGTGGTGTGCGACAATGAGTTAACAAGGGTTATGGAGGTCGCAGGACGGTCTGTTAGTGGTTCCAGTGACGTTGTTGTCAATTCTGATTTCTGAGATACAGTGTAGATCACTGTGTCAGGGGGGAGGTGATGAGGAAGATTAGACAACAAGGGTACTGGTCGCCCTACATGCAAGCAATCGTGGCTGAAGTGTTGAGCCAATGTGAAATATGTGCTCAGAATAATGTGAAGAAAAGTGTAAAAACATCTGTAGGACATATTCCAGTGCCAAAAGGTCCATTTAAACATCTGGTTATGGATTATGACGACATGATAAAATCAGTTTAAGGAAAAAGATACATGCTCGTAATAATTAACAGATTTAATAGATGGGTTGAAGCTACACCATCAAAAGATTTAAGTGCTGAAACTGTTGTTAAATTACTGATAAGAGAGGTAATACCACGATTTGGTATTCCATCTGAAATTAGTTCTGACAATGGGTCAGCATTTGTGAAGAAAGTAGCAAAAGGTATTATAAACAGCTAAGAGTCAAACAATGGTTGGGAGCAGTGTAAAAGCCAAGGAATGGTTGCGAGAATAAATGGAACCCTAAAAGCTAGGCTAAACAAAATATATGCTGCTACTAAGCTGAACTGGGTAGAAGCTTTGCCACTAGCACTTATGAGCTCGAATGAAAACGCATAGAATCACGCATCTAACACCGCATGAAATGCTAACAGGTCCACCCATGCCATAAATTGGCAACACAGTGGGACTCCAATTACAAATATAGAGCACTAGTGAGCACTAGGTAGTGGATCCGGCTAACGACAGTTCAGTATGGAGAGAATTAGAATTAGAGAGGGTAACTAACGCAGAGATACCAGAAGTATTACACGGAAATAAACTGTTCAGGACAGAATTAGTAACAGTGGGGAGATTTAGATTACATATTCCTGAACAAGAACGGCCTGAAGGCATGATAAGCCGAGAGGTGACGATTTTAGAAATTCTCGGAGATGACCCTCTTTGTGGGTGGATATCATAAAAACGGGGACCTCTGTGTGGGATAAAGAAGTAGATAAATGCACCATGTGGATGGATCATGAAAGTAAACTATGCAGCGCTTAATTACGATAAAACATATGAACTTAAAACCATTAGTACGCCATCGCAAGGTGGCAAAGATGAAGTAACAGTACAGTGGAATGTGAAGTATGCCACACCAACATTGGACAATCTATGCAGCATGCCGTTAGGGGACATGGTTACACCAGTGAGTACCACCGCAAATACATTAGTAACCACAATAAAATCACACAGAGTAAATAAACCAGGCCCTAGATCATATGGCAAAAACAAAATCACACGCAAGGGTGCTACAATACCAGCACCGACTAAGAAGTTACAACTCCAGCCCTCACCACAAAAACTGCAGTTATTACCACTACTATAAGCCCTACAACTCCAGTCATAACCACAACATCTACAACTTAAGCTACGACTAAGAGTCCAACAACACCAGTCACCACCACCACAACACCAATTTTTACTACTACTGATTCATCTAAGTTGGCGACAACAACCAAATTGATAAAAACAACAGCAGAAAGAGAGGTTGAAACCATTAGTACGGCTACAACCAAGGGTGAAATGAATAAACAAGAAAATCTGAATAATGACAAAAACAAAAGTTCCCATGCAAAATGTAATGATCCACAGGGGGAATTAGAAGTACTGATACTTATGAAATGTACTGAAGATGGCCACAAAACCAAACCTTGCTTAAAACCCCAAAAAGACTTTGGTCAGAAGAGTATAACCAGTATAAAGACGAATTGGAGGCCCAAGCCACACAAAACTATTGGTATAGAAGTATGTGGGCTACAGTGAGAGACATGACCAAAGATGATTGTTTAGTGTTCTCAAAAGCACCTGGAACCAGACCCATAGTCATCCCAGAGAAGTATAATTCTGAGGAATGTGCAAAATACCAAAAACAAGTATGCAGCACAGGAAAATGTATTAACAATGATGAGGCACTAAGGTTTTTTCACCAGCCGGTGTGTGGCCTTAGATGCAGGTTATTGTATGTTTCCTGAAAATCACATACTTATCTGACATTTGGAGGTTATAAATATGATGAAATGTTTGACGATTTCAAAATTCAGGCAACGAACCAGGAAGCCCCAACAAATTACATAATAGACTGGGAGGAAAAATATGAATGTTATGCAGGTGGAGTATTTAGAAATCTAGATGGTGTTGAAGTAGGAAACACAACTGTTAAATGTAAAATTACCTGGGTATTATCTTGGTTTCCACATGTTAACAGACCATCAAATACGGAGCCAATTTGGTTTGAAAACCCTTCAGAGGATTTAGATCAAGATTGTACTAACATAAATATAGCTATACTCTATAATATACTATATTTTTCTTTGTAGACCAGACATTTTCTATTGCACATAGTTATTGGATGTGTGGGGGAGATAAACTAATGAACACATTACCATTAAGGTGGGTTGGGCTGTGTAAGTTGGTTAAGTAGGTTAAAAACACTCATAACAGTAATATATACAGGCATGGAAAAGTTAATTGAGCACAGTGATCGAAGGGAGAAAAGGTTTGTAGATGACAAGGAAATATATTTGGATTTTATAGGGCAGCCACGAGGAATTCCATTCGAGTTAAAAGCCAGAGATGAAGTAGTGGCTGGGATGGAGTCCATCATACCATGAATCACTAATAATGGATTTACCATTAAGGTGGGTTGGGCTGTGTAAGTTGGTTAAGTAGGTTAAAAACACCCATAACAGTAATATATACAGGCATGGAAAAGTTAATTGAGCACAGTGATCGAAGGGAGAAAAGGTTTGTAGATGACAAGGAAATATATTTGGATGTTATAGGGCAGCCACGAGGAATTCCATTCGAGTTAAAAGCCAGAGATGAATTAGTGGCTGGTATAGAGTCCATCATACCATGGATGACTAGTAATAAAAATGTAGAGTGGATAAATTATATATACTATAATCAACAAAGACTGCTTAATTACTCAAAAGAAGGATTTGAAATATATGGTGGAGAACTGCATGCCAATACAAAAATGACGATTCAAAATAGGAAAGCATTAGATTGAATGATGGCCAGATCAGGAGGGATATGTCCCATGTTTGGAGTAGAGTGTTGTACATACATTCCAGAACACACTGCCCCGAATGGAACATTTTCTATTGCTATGAAAAAGTTGAAGAAATTACAGGCTGAAATGATAAACAATGCTGGCAGAGGTGCACGTGTGTGGCAAGGACTAGAAGCGATAGTCGGAGAATGGGGAGCCTTATGTATCAAGGCTGTTGTGATTTTATTCATAGTATTAACTGTTGTTGGGTAGGAATGTGGTATCAGTGGGCAGTGGCAGATGCAAAACTACAAATGACTCAGTTGGAGTTTCATAATTAAGTGTTTTAACTTTTACTTTGTTTCCTGGAAGAAGTAAGGACGATGGTGAGATGAACACTCTCGAGTCAATTTCAACTATGTTCTAAACTGACCCTATGTTCTAAACTGACCCTACTTCTCTGTCTGGTCACATTTGTGGCAAACAAAAGTGGTAAATATCTCCTCCGGAATGTCTGCTGTGGACCTCTTCTCCAGAAATCCCCCCTAACTTTCCCAGCCTAAGCAGTTTACACTTCCTCAGTCAGATGCATATTTCAGTTATTACCTTTTCAAAAACAACAGCACTTCAACATTTAATCATATTTGATCATTTCACATGGTCAAAAATGACAATTTTAATCAACATTTCTTTTCTTGTATTATGATTTAGCCATAAGCACTTCTTAATTCTGTCTTAAAATGTTTTTTTTCTTAAGTCAGGGGATCATTCTTTAGTCCGTTCAGACCCCTTTTCCCAATACCGCATAACCAGCAAATATAAATGATTATAACAGTTATGACTGATTTATATTAATTAAAATTTGTAATCACGTCATAAACTTAACTAGTGTCTTGAGCTCTGTGATCTAAGCAACAAACTCAGTGATCTTGGATATTTTCTAAACCGTGACTCATTTTTGTATTTAGGTACTTTTTGCAGACCCTAACTCACTAATTAACCTTATCAGATAATGGACATGCCTCAACATTTTTTCTAACACATTTCGATACATGTTCCCTTCCTATTGAGCTGAATATATAACAAGTCTAATTGTTTTTGCCTGCTTTGATACACTGGCTTGAGGCCTCTGGATACTGAGCTCAACCCTTCTT